CCACCGGCCCAGCCCTGGGTGCCACCTCCAGGTGCCACCTCCAGGGATGGGGATCCACAGGATGGGCATCCAGACCTCCGTGGGCACTGCCAAGCCCTGAACTCCCTTTCCATGGAGAATTCCTCCTGGTGTCCATCTGCAGCTCCCCTGGTAAAAGCTGACAGGGAACACCGAGACCTCACCCACCTTGGGAATAAATTCAGTCCACGAGAAGTGAGGGATGGAGGTGCTTTTCCCAAAGATTGGACTCTGTTCCATGGAATCCCAGATCAGTTTGGGCTGGAAGGAGCCTAAAAACCACCCAGCCATGGGCAGGGACTCCTCCCAGCCCTCCAGGGAGCTCCAAGCACGGTCCAGCCTGGCCCTGGGCACTGCCAGGGGTGGGCACCCGTGCCAGGACCGAGCCGTGCCAACCAGGCACCAAACCAAACCACAGCCTGGAAGGTTTTTATCCCAATTCCCAACATTCTGGTGATTTATTAAAAAAATATGAATATTGATCTAGTACCAGTTTCCAACTGTGACGGACAAAAACTCCCTAACAGTGTAAAGTTAGGAAGTGTGTGTTTATTGTGTGTGGGATCATTCCCAAATCCACACTGCAGCTTCCAGGTGATTGCAGAGCCCTTTTATCCATCCAAGTATTGAACACCCAAAATACAAATACAAATTCAGCAGTTTGGTACATCCCATTCCCAAATCCACACTGCACCCTCCAGGTGATGACAGAGCCCTTTTATCCATCCAAGTATTGAACACCCAAAATACAAATACAAATTCAGCATTTTGGTACATCCCATTCCTCACTTCGTGTATTTGTCCCTTGAAAAGGGTCGGTGTCCCTTCCATGGGAGGGGTCCCAAAATGAGGAAGTCAATGAAGTCTTCCTCCTTCTGACCTTTCCACCTTTCCAATGCCAATCTGACAAATGAACTCTTGGTAGAACTCCCATTCCTTGTCTTCAGTTGGTTTCAGAGCAGAGGAGCCCCACAATTGTCTGATGTTCCTAAAAGCAATTTGTCAATTTATATTCTTCATTATCAACCCAGCTAACTCAACATTGTGCTGACAAGCAATCAGTTATTAGTTAACTACAAACTCTTACCTCCATCAAGGCCTACTCATTTATTTTAATTAACTCTAGTAAGGCTCATCTCTAACTGAAATCTTAGCTCCTCTAAAATCTCTAAATTCCTTAAAATTTACGTTTCACCGAGGCAGCAGCGTGGTGGTGCTGACCTCCAGTGAGAGATCCCCGGGCACGGGAGGGTTCCTGGGGACACCCCCAGCCACTCAGGCAGATTCTGGGAAACTGCCCCCATAAATCCCCCATTTTGGGATGTTTTCCATAAATGTGTCCATCACTGCCCTTTCCCCACTCAGGCTCACAGGGGATTCTGTCCCCCAGAAGTCCCCCCAGGACTGGAGCAGGGAATTCAGCAAGTGAAACCAAAACAGGAACTGAGGCTTGGAAATGCCAGCCTGGAGGGAAGAGCAGAGGAGCTCCTCCCACCAAAACATGTCAGAGTTCAAGAAAAATTCAATTTAATTCTCTCTCTCCCCGAGGAAAAAAATCATCAACCCAGCAGTGGGGGGAAGCTTTGCCTTTGGATCCTCAAAGAGAAACTTCCCTCAAAGTCTCCAACCCTTCTCAGGGAAAAAAATGCCCCAACAACCCCCAAAGGCAACAACAGAAGCCTCAACAAGCAAAAACCACAGGTGCCAGTGTCTGGTGGAAGGTTTTATTTAAAAACACTCAAAATTCACAAGTCTAAAGGAAAGCACCCGGGCACGCCAAGCCCTCAGGGCTGGATCAGGAACCCACCAAGGACCAGTAAAACCAGCACAGCTCAGGGGGCAGGGAGAGCCCAGCTCCTGCTTTGCTTTCCCACATTGTCCTTCAGAATCCAGAACTTCCACCCAAAAAGTCCCTCAGGAAAAATGAGATTTTTCCAGGGATATCAAAGAAACCTCCACTGCGAAGTTTCTTTTAAAACCAACTTTTAGGACTGTGAGTTCTGCTTGAATTAAAAATATTAAATGAAGGATGTCCTACATCAAATGCAGCATTTTTGTTCTAAGACTCCTCTCTCTGCAGCCAAGCACAGGGCAGAGGCTCCTGAGCTTTTTGTGGCACACGGGGATTCCCTGGAGCCATCCCAGGAACATTCCCCGTTCCTGGGGCTCCACGAACCTCCTGCTCCTGCCCTGTAAGGCAAGATCAGCTCCCTTCAGGGATAATTTATCTAATTACCTCGAGGAGTAATTAACCCAAAGCAAACTGCACTCTGCAGGAGCTCTGGGAGCTCCCTGCTCAGCACAGAGCTTCCCACTGAAACCACGGGAAAATGAGGAGTTCCACCATGGAATTCAAGGCTTTTCCCTCTGGAAGCAAAAATCAGTTCTTGCTTTAACTCTTTTTATAGTTTTCAGTCATTAACTCTTAAAAATAAATCAGTTTTCACATTATTCAGGCTTGGAGAGGTCATTGCTGCTCCTGCCCTGGGATAAATTCCAAGGTGAACACTTTTTGTACTTCTGGAACTGGAGATTCCTCTGAAATATTCACCTGGCAGCTTTCTCACCTTTTCCTCTCAGAAAAACCAAAACACAGCAATAAAGGTGTCCAAGAGGAGAGGCTGGAAAAGCCCCACCTCCATGCAGGCTCACGCCAGCAATTTAAGGATTGAATTTTCCCATTTCACACCCAGAGATGAAATCCTGACTCAGCTACTCACGGAGTATTTGAGCCAGGATCTGGAGCAGGTACTCAGAGGTTCCAGCAGAGCCACAATTCCCCGTCAGGATCTCTGCACTGCCCAGGAAGGAGGAGTTTTAGGCAAGATCTGCAATCTAGGATCTAGGCTTGCAGCAAAGCACGGAGCATCTGCTGGTGCTGGGCTCTTGGCCCAGGAAATTCACAGTATTCCTGCTTTTCCACAGGGCCAAGCTGCTATTTCAACACACTTCTGTGGGCCAGGGTGGAGAAACAGGAGGAGTAATGAGCTGGGAGCTGCAAAAAAAAAAAAATAAAAAATTCCTCAGCTTCTGAGGTAGGCCAGCCTTTGATTCCTTTCCTTCATTCAAATTTAATTACTGGGAGATTTCTTTCTGAGAAAAATCCCAGGAATTTCCATCAGAGGTGGAGCTGCTGGCTGTTAAAACCAATTCTTTAAATAAACCCCTGATTATTCTGGTTTTTAATTGTCTGTGAAGTTGTTGGTGATACCTGAGCTCCAAGCTTGGACAGGTATTTATTCCTTAAACTAAAGGCATCAGCTTTTGGCAGCAATTTTGCCAAATCATCTTCGTTCTGCCTTCTGAGCCTCTCCTGCTCTTCTGCTCTGCAAAAGAAAAGTGGCAGAAAAGTGTTTGCCCTGAGGGAAAAGCCTGCCCAGCAGGGAATGATTGGAATATTATTCAATCTTCTAATATTGTTATTTTAATAGCTAGGAAATGTTTTGGGGTATCAGGTGAATGACCCTGAGAGGTGCAGGGATCAATAATTCAGTGGAAAGAAAGAGAGAGGCTGATTTCTGCAGGTTCCTTTTATTTCATTCCAAGATTTCAGTAGAAAGAGAAACCTTCTGGTTTTTCCCAGATTACAACGTGCTCAGGGAGCTTCAGTAACAACTTCTGTATCTATTAAACAAACTTTCATCCTTAAAAGAAACATTACAATACAAAGAGAATCGAGAAGGCAATAAAAGACCGCTCAGCAGTCTCAGAGTTCAGAAATCTACCCCAAAAAAAAAAGTCCCTTGAGCATCTGTGGCTCTTTTTGCATTGTGCTGGAAGGACACAAGCCCAGAGGTGTAAATACATTTAAAAAGTGGTTTTTGCATTGAGACAGTGACAGAAGCAGCAGCAGGGAGCTGTTGGGAGCTCTGGGTGAGAACACAAAAATGATTTTGATCAGAAACTCCACCCTGTGAGCACAGGGGGTCTGAGCTCAGCTCCACTCCAGGTCTGTGGGGTGGCACAGCTCAGCCAGGCCCTCAGCCCAGCAGAAAAAATGGGAATTTTGGCATTGTTAGAGCAAAGCAGGAGCTGAGGCACTGCTGGAACCCCCAGGATCTTCCAGAGAGCTACAGAGCAACCTCAACTCTGCTGCTGGCAGCTGGGGAGGTGCTGGAGCTCGACCTGGGATGGGCTTTGCTACTCAACTTTCCTTTCTGAAAGAAACAGGGGACAACAATTACTGCAAACCCTGCCTGGGGCAGCCCAGA